AGTGGGCGGAAGAGAGCCGTCTGTTCCGTCACACTCGAGTAGAAATATAATAATTCAAGAATAAATATTAAATTATCGATATTATATAAATTAAATTAATTATAACTATTTCAAATCTATTCGATTTGAATAAAACTTCTCTCTCTAATTATTTTTATAATATATAACTATTTTTATTTTTAAAAAATTATAATAATATATATAGAAATCAGCTAGCAATAGCTATTTTAATCTTTATTAAATATTAAATAGATATCTTATTTTAAATTATTAAATGAATTAGCTTATTTAGTATAATTTCAATATAAATTACAAATTTATAAATTTACTCACTTTTTATTAATCAGACTATTCAATTTGTGAGCTATCTAACAAATTCGAAATTCGCTATCACTAGACACTAAACGGGCTGCTCTTAGGCTTATCTAACCTCATATAATTATGTCATAGCCAATTTACCCCAGCTTCCAAGCCCAGCAAACCCAGCCCAAGCCCAGCTTCAAGCTTCAGAGCTTCAGATGAATATTGAAAAATTCTCAAACTATACATCATCACCATCACTATATCTACCCAATACATAATACATATCACATACATTGCCTATTATTCAATAAGAAACACCCTACACATTACCTACAATACAATACAATACAATACAAATACAAAACCATCACAACCATCTTCAACCCAGCTTAACCAACCCCTCGAAACTTTCAAAATCCACAATTTCACACCTATTTTATAAGTTATACAGTTCTCATTATGCTTCCTTTGAAACGCATATCATGTTCTCTCCCTATACCCAAAATCACAGTATCCACATCGATTCCTTGGGCTAGGGCCATCCCACTTTCTTCCGCTTGCATGCCCTCGAGAAAATTCGCAAGTACACCTACAAAACATGCGCAAAATAGAATATACACCCCGTAAATTACACCCATCACATCCCAACCCATCCCACCCTCTTCTCCATTCTCCTCCTTACCTATCTTACGCTTCTTCCTGCCCCCCTCCAATTCATCCACCATTTCAATGCACCCACCAACTAACACCCCCCTCCCCCCCCCCTCTAGTATCCGCTACCCCACCGATCTAACCACCTACCTCAGCATATCCACCTCCACCTCTCTCCCCCTGCTAACCCTCTGGACCACCTCCTACTGCAGCACCTGCAAAACCATCGCCCCACTCCTGCACAATATAATAGAATCTGGCACGGGCGAAGCAGAAGGTGGAGTCCTGTATGCGGAAGTCGAGTATGATGCGCCGGATATGATGGATGAGGGGCTGGGGATGCGCTACATGGTGACGAGTGTACCGATGCTGGTGGGGTTTTGGAGGGGGGAGGTGATGGGTGGGGTGAGTGGGGGAGGAGGAGGAGGAGGGGGACAAGGAGAGAGATTGAGGAGTAGAGAGATACAGGGGATGGGGAGAGAGGGGTTGGAAGAGTGGGTTAGAGGGGCGGCGAGGAAGGGGAGCGAGTGGAGGGAGGGGCATCCGGGGGGTGAGGGCTTGTTTGGGGGGTTGTGGAAGGGGTGGGGGAAATGAGGGAGTTTTTGTAGGGATGCTTGAAGGAGTGAGTGTGTATATATATAATGTAACTTTGATTGTGAGGTGTAAATAATAGACGAATACATATATGCTCTATGGTAAGATAACTTGAGACCTTTCGAAACTCCATATAATATATATAGTTAATATATATAAAATGAAGATCATGTCAGCTCAAACCATATCATTGAATCATCGCATCGCATCTCATCTCATTTCATAACCATATCATAACAATTTTCTTGGCCCTATTTCATTTCATCCATTTCATCCGTTTCATATCATATCATATCATATCATAACATAACATATCGCTTCATCCTGAAATTTTCAACCCTCTTCTCTTCCCTTGCAATCTTTCCATCCTTTCCAATCTCAATCTTATATCTTTCTCCTTCCTTCATATACCCCCATTCCTCTTCTCCCACCTTATGCGTCCAGCATTCTGTTCCCTAGTATGATGACATCCCCTTCCCTTATCTCTCTTCTTTCCTCTTTGTATATCCAATTTTCCTGTTTCCTGTCTCCTGATACCTTTTCCCTTCGTCCTTCCCATTCTTTCACCCACCATCTCACTCCTACCTCACATCACACCACATAACCTCCTCCCCAACATATCTCTTCCTCTCCTCCCCCTCACAAACCCTCCATCTCCACCCCTCACGCCACATAAAAAACCTCGTCCACGCCCTTCCACCACCCCCTCTCATCCGTACTCCCCGTACTCCCCTCCACCAGACTCTCCTGATAAGAATCCGTCAAACTCCACCACTCCCTAACCTTTGGATTTTCCCTCATCCTCTCCATATCCCCCACATAATCATATCCTACATATTTGAACGACGCAAAGAGGATATTGGTTGAAGGGTCATGATAGATGGAATCTGTTGTATCTTTTGTGTTAGTTTATTTTCTTCGTTCTTCTCTATTTATTGCATTGTGTTGTATGCGATACATAAGTTAGGGGGGGAAGGATTATGATAAAGAGAGGGGAAATGGAAGAGATGGAATAGAAAACGCGTATAAAATATAAAATAACCATACAATCTTCAATACAACACTCCTTAATCTGCTTCAACACCTCAGGCCAAACCCTGGCATGACAGTCTTTATACTTCTCCACACAATCCGGCTTCAACTTCACAATCTGCGCAATCCTCTTTCCTTGATTCTTTAATTTTTGCGTGGGGATAACGGTTCCGGTACGTGAAAAGATAGTGGGGGATAAGGGAAGCGGTTGTGTTTGTGTCTGGCGTTGACTTTGACTTTGGCTTTGGCTTGGAGTTTGAGTCTGAGGTTGAGAAATAGACGTGGAAATGGAATTGGAAATTGATTGAGAAGATCGATGCGAGGATTGAGGGGGAGGATTGCTTGCAGACCACATTTTGGGAGAGGAGGTGCGAGGATTCGTCCACATTTTGGGTTTGGTTTGGGTTTGTTTGGTGGGTGATATAGGTGAGAGGAGAGAGAAGTTGAGGATATAGATATCGAAGCTTTTCGATCTCGAGATGACGGCGTGAATCTTTTTCGCGAGATTATCGTATCGTATCGTAGTGAGGTGAGGTATGAATGTTGAATGAAATGTGAGTAAAGTAAAGAAGAAGAAGAAGAAGAAGAAGAAGAAAGATGAATAATAGGAACAACAAGAACAGGAATAACAACGATCCGTAACCCGAGTACGCAACTCCGAAGTAAGGTATGATTATATCGGCGATTGCGGGGTCCTTGAGCTGAGCTTCGATTTATTATACCGGTACCGGTACTTGCATTGCATATGGTAGGTATGGTATAGTATCAAATGTATATACAGACAGGTTGAATAACCTTACAAATCTGTTGGAAATACAAGATTATTTTGGAGTTATTTACAATCCATTTGTACAAATTTTGGAGCTGTATTGCTATACTATACCTATCTATACACTTCAAATCATACACCTATCTACCCCACCATACCTACTATACATACATACTATACCTAGGTACCCCTTAACCGGACCTCTCCAACCCATCTTCAATCTTCACCCCCCCATCCATCCCCAATTTTTCATTCATATCAAAATGTACATCTTACATACATAGAAGAACCAGTTTTGTAGGTCTTTTTGACTCTATTATATTATCCGTTGTGCTCCGAATTGATGCCGCCCGTGTCTGCCGGTTGTATGGTAGGGCTTGCTAGACCTTATATATTGACCCTACAGGCACCTCAGAAGAGTAATTAACCCACCAGTGGGTTGTTATTGCATTAAACCATATATTGAGATATAATGAGATATATTGAGATATTATATTAAGATCTGAAATCATAATTTAAATCTAATATAGATTAGTTTGATATAACTTCATTTTTTTTCATTCTAAATCAATGATTTCAAATTCATTTATATCTATCGAAATCTTTCAATTTTATAACTTTTTATTCAAATTAATTTGAATATTTTCAATATTTTCAATATTTAATAAATTTTAATTATTTTAATTATTTATAAATGATTAAGGGT